GTTGGGATCGCTGAGTGTGGCCTGGTCCTCTCTCCTTCTCACCGCAGCACCCGATAATAGATCCCTGGCAATTATGGTCTTTCTGGATGGGCCAGGTGGCCAATTTTATTCTTTGTAATCTTCAAAGGTACAAACGAATCAGTTTTATGGCTTCTGCTTTGCATCAAGATAAATTTCAGATGTCTCAAACATGGAGCAGCTTTGAACACGACTTGTTTTCTTTTCCTCCATTCAGGAGCCATAAAAACTAGCCAGGAGAAGGCCTCAGACCCAATTCTTTATAGCAGATGTTGTGAAATTGTGACCAGCACTTGGAACTCGGTTCGCAGATGTGTTTTCTTTGGCTCATATGGCATGTTTTAAAGCTTTGAATTGGCTTCCAGCATTTAAGAATAAAAAATCTTAAATAAAAATTGAGATTTCCAGCTTACTTGGGGAATTAGAGCTGGCTCCTGCCCGGGGGTTTGGATGCACAGGTGAAGGCGGGATTGCAGGGGCCCCGGGAGGGCCATGGCTCCCGCAGTTCCTGCCCAGGCCCACCTGGCTTGCTTGACACATACTAATAATCTACTTGGAGTCTTGCATTCTATTGCTGGCTCTAAAAGCTTTATGCAGTGCCTGATCTAGAAGGACCAGAAATAATCTCTTTGCTCTCAGTTTAGTCATTTATAAAATGAGCTAAAATGAACCAGGACTCTTGCAGTTCTAAAAATTTGTGTTTAGCTATGAACACCGCATTCAGCATGGGGCTGACATGTAAATGTCAAGCCTCACTGTTAACCCTCATTTCCCTTCTGCTTCCCTTCCTTCATCTCCATGGACTATGGCCCTGAGAGGTTCAGAGCCAGCAAGGATAGGAGAAGCCACTGTTGAACTCCGATGGTAGCCTCCACTTTATACTCACTTCATAGTATTTTGGTTGTCGTATTTGGTACTAAACTTAATTTTTGTGCCTCGGAAAGTGTGGGCTCTCAGTAAATATTTGTTGAGTCAGGAAATGAATTGGTAGCTAGGTTGGCTTTCCTACTTGCTGGGGCAAATCAGGAAGTGAGGGGTTCTCGAGGTTAGATTTTCTTCCACACACACACACACACACACACACACACACACACACACACACACACAAAAGCCACAATTATTGGACAGCATATACTTGACAAAGTATAATGAACAAGCACAGTCGAGATTGTTTCCCAGAAGGCTGAACTGTCAAATGAGTGAGAAAATGTAGTTAAAATATATTTAAGTAATGTAGTTGCAGTTCTTTGAAAAAAATACCTCTGATCTCCCTAAAAGTTAAACTATAATTTTGGTACTTTGTGTTTGGTACAAATGAAAAATTTTATATATATAAGAAGCAATGGAGCCATCAAGGATAGGAGGAGCTGCTGTGGAAAGACAGCTGTGGTGGAAGAGTGACTTGAATCTTTAAATATTATAAAGACAGCTGTGGTAGAAAGTGATGTGAATTTTTAATTATTAAAGCTTGTTTCCCTGTGAAATAAATGATGGATTCTAAGTGCATGGAAATGAGATACAAACCTGACCCTTAAACAGCAGCCAGTGGAATAGTGACAAATTTAAATGCGTCTTTTGTCCAGTCATATTCATTGTATCATGGAAATAATACCTGTAGAAAACAAAATAACACAAGCACGTACGCCCTGCCTAGATGCAATGTCCATAGTAAATATTGAGATGTTTTTCATGTTTAAGGGAACAAACTGTTCAGATTGTAAAGGGTATTTTGCCCTCCTTCTCCGTGTTGCTTCCCTATCTCTGCCTTCAGAGTAGCTAGCTTTTCGAACATGTAGGTCTTCTTATTCATATTGTTATGTTTTGCTCTGTCCTTTTGGGTTCATAAAATACACAGGATTGTGTTATGTGTTTTTAAAATCACATTTAATGATATCAGATTTTATGTGTTCTAGGACATTATTATGTTTTTGAGATTTATCCATGTTAATACAATTATTTCTATTTTAATCATTTAAATTGCTTTCTGGAATGATTAAGCCACAATCTGTGATTTATTGCCTTATTATGAGCATTTAGGTGATTTCTGTTATAAATAATGCTGTAGTAAATATTCCTAAATGTATCTCATTATTCACATGCTCCAGAGTTGCTCAGGAAATACATCTACCTTGGGTGACCAGGGTGTTGATATATGGGCACTTTCTGTCACCCAGGCTGGAGTGCAGTGGTGTGATCATGGCTTACTGCAGCCTCCAATGCCTGACCTCAAGTGATCCTCCTGCCCCAGCCTCCGGAGTGGTGGGACTACAGGTGTGAGACAACATGCCCAAACACTTTTTAATTGTGTTTATTGACAAATTGCTCTGTGAAGCAGTTGTACCAGCTTATGCCCTCAGCGGCAGTATTGAAAGTTCCGTTTTTCACATCTTCTCCAAAACTTGCCAGACATTAAAATTGGCACCCATATGATGGGTATGAAATGACACCTCATTGTTATTTTGCTTTGCACTAACCTTATAACAGCCTCCAGCATAAATGGGTTAATATTATTTTTCTAGGTATGATAGGGGCTTAATATACTCATATGCTTTTTCTGAATTCCAAGTTTGATTGTATTGTTTTTATTTTTTAGTCTATTAATGAGTGGAATTTTATTACTAGGTCTTTTTAATATAAAGACCTTTCAATTTCACACACATATACACATACATACACACATATGTATCATATACAGTGCTAGGTTCAGTTTATTAATATTTTTTATAATTTTCATATCTATGTTTATAAGCAATATTAGTCCATTTTTCATTTGTATTTTAAATAAATAAATTAGTACCTTTCTTTGAAAAAATTTTTACAAGGTAGTGAGTATTTGTTCTTTGTACATTTGGCAAAATTCTCGTGTAAAACCTACTGGGCTTGGAATTTTGGGAGATACTTTTGGCTACTGATTAATTTTTGGTAATTTAAAGAGTAACATGGAGATAGAAATTTACTTTTGTTTGTGATGGGAAGAGCTTTTAGCCTTTCATCAGTGACAAAGGAAAAAAAAACAGGATTTATAAGAGAAAGAAAAAATGAAAAAGAAAGGAAAAGAGAGAAAGAAAAGAAAAGGAAGAAAGAAAAGAAAAAACTAGGCAGTTCGGGAACAGTAAGTCTTGTTTTTTATTTTTGGGGTAAACACACTGAATAACTTGTAGCTAACACCACAAAACAAGGCCAAAACTTTGGGAGTTTCGTTGTTGAATATACTTGACAGGCTATCTCTGAATAAAGTCTGCATAATGTCCTTCTGTTGGCACCTTCACTTTAGTTAGGCAAGATCTGCACCGTTTTACTCAACAACGTTTTCTCGGTTTTTCCTTTTTCAGTCAAAGAATCTCCCAAAGGAGCAAATTTGAATTTAAGGATGTTTAGTCTCTGTGATGCAGACTCTTCAGTTAGAAGTTTACTGGACATTAGACACGAGAGGAAGGAAAACACATAGAAGAAAAATCGTAAAAGTTATGATATTTTGAAGGTATTTTGTATTCATTGTTTTTTTTTTTTTTTTTTTTTTTTGAGACAGGGTCTGCTGTGTCACCCAGGCTGGAGGTGCAGTGGTACTGTCACAGCTTACTGCAGCCTTGACCTCCTGGGTTCAAACGCTCCTCCTACCTCCACCTCCCAAGTATTTGGGACTGCAGGAACATGGCATCATGCCCAGCTAATTTTTAAATTGGCTGTAGAACTGTAGTCTTGCTATGTTACCCAGGCTGGTCTCAAAATCATGGGCTCAAGCAACCCTCCCATGTTGACCACCCAAAGCACTGGTATTACAGGCATGAGCCACTGCACCTGGCCTGTATTAATTTTAAAATCTACTTTTTGCCTGATAAGGAGAGTAAGCCTTAAGAATTAGTCCGATCAACTTCAGTTAACAAAGTGGCCTTTTCACCTCTAATTGATTGATTCTTTTTATTTAACCATCTATTAAAAAATTATTATGCAGATTGCATAGTGGCTGCTTAATAATCAAGGATAATTTTATTACCTAGTGCTATTTTAGTTAACAATTTCATGATAATCTTTAAATTTTTTGGTTATTTAAATAATTAAATTTTGTTATTTAAGCCATAAGCAAATTAGAAATTACACACTCTACTTTAGTAGCTAGTTTAACTAGAGTAGAAGTCCTTTTACAAACCAGTAAAATCCAGTGTCTTAGAACCCTCTCTAAAATTATCATGTCTGATTTCTCATAAGATCTAATTAAGGAGCTTCTTTAGAATATTTGGAAAGATCAAATAAATGTATCCAAAATAAGTGTCTAAATTTAGTTTGTCTGATTTTGGAGGGAGACAATCAGAGCTAGAATTAAATATTTTATAGGGATTGTTGTATTGCTATAGAAGAAAATAATTAAACTGAAGTTTGCATCAGTATGTTTATGTCCCTTTCTTTGTGGGATTCCTTGGGTCCCTGTAAAGCTTTAAAAGTGTTTGTGGTAATAAGAAATTGTTGGGTGTGGTGCCATGCGCCTGTAGCTCCAACTATTTGGGAGTTGGAGGTGGGTGGATCATTTGAACCCAGGTAGTCAAGGCTGCAGTGAGCTGTGCAATGACACTGCACTTTCAGCCTGTGTGCAGAGCCAGACCCCAGCTCATACATATATGAGGGTTAATACTTTATAGGGTGTTTTCAGGCCAGTTATCAAATTTAACGGTTGACAGGTGTGGTTGTGGAGAAACGATTTAAAGAGGACTATTACGAAAGAAAAGAAGAGAATGAGGAGATGAATAATATAATAAAAATGCAAAGGTAAATCTGATGGTTCTTCAAGGATTTCAGTCTGAAGGTTTTGGGAGGAAGCTCTCTACTCATGAAGACGCCTTCTTAATCCACAGAATCTTGAAAGGAATCTGTCTACTTTAACATATGTTCTGCTTCCAGGGATCTTTTCGTGAGCCTCAAGGTCAGATCTTCATTTGTACTTGATGCTCAGGCTATGAAATTCAAACAATATTTGCATTAGGATGCACATATCTATAGATGCGTGTTCTGAAGCTTAAGGACAACACCTGTAATTAGAACCTGAAGTAGTTCTTTCTAATGGGGCTTCAAGGCTCGTTTTCCAAACTCTTTTAATGTACTCCATCTTCCAGATGTACATCTTTCATGAGATGTATACGGTGGTTGTTGTCATTAGTACAGGAGGTGAAACTTTAGGACCTTAACATTTTTACTTTAAAATATCATTGGTTTGTTTCCCCAGGGCTTCAAGGAAGTTTCTGTTTACGGCTGAGTAGTATTCCATGGAGTATATTATATATTATATTTATGTAGAAACAGTGGAAACAAATTACAACATAGAAAGCCTTAGCATGTATGCTAGTTTGCTAGGACTATCATAGCAAAGTACCACAAGTCAAGTGGCAACAGGTTTTGGAGTTCTAGAAACTAGAGATCCAAGATCAAGGTATCATCATGGTTGATTTCTTCTGAGAGCTTTGAAGGAGAGTCTGTTTCAGGCCTCTCTCCTAGCTTGGGGTGGTTTGCTGGCAGTTTTTGGTGTTCCTTGATTTGTAGGCAAATCACTATGATATCTGCTTTTATGTTCACATGGCTCTCTCCCAATGTGCATGTCTGTGTCCAAATTTTATCTTTTTTTTTTTTTTTTTCTTTTTTGAGACGGAGTTTCGTTCTTGTTACCCAGGCTGGAGTGCAATGGCTCGATCTCGGCTCACCGCAACCTCCGCCTCCTGGGTTCAGGCAATTCTCCTGTCTCAGCCTCCTGAGTAGCTGGAATTACAGGCACGCGCCACCATGCCCAGCTAATTTTGTATGTTTTTAGTAGAGACGGGGTTTTCACCATGTTGACCAGGGTGGTCTCGATCTCTTGACCTCGTGATCCACCCGCCTTGGCCTCCCAAAGTGCTGGGATTACAGGCGTAAGCCACAGCGTCCAGCCCCAAATTTTATATTTTATAGGAACCCTGGCTGTTTTGGATTAGGAAACCAACCTACTCTAGTATGACCTTATCTTAATTAATTATATTTGCAACAACCCCATTTCTAACTAAGGCATTTTCTGATATACTAGTGGTTAGGACTTTAACCTGTGAATTTTTGGCAGACACAATTTTAACCCATAAAAGCAAGAAAACAGAAATCTTCATCAAAGAAATAGAACAAATAAAGAATAACCAAATACAAATGTTAGAACTGAAAAATATAATAATCAAAATAAAAGCTAAATGGATAGGTTCAACAACAGGATTAAGGAACAGTGAAAAGAATCAGTGAACTGCAAGATAAAATAATATAAATCACTCAATTTAGCACAGAAAAATAGACTAAAAAGAAATGAACACAGCCTCAGCGGGCTCTGTTTTGGGAATATAACAAAATATCTAACTGTCATATAATTGGAGTCCCAGAAGGAGAGGCAAAAGAAGGTAGAGGCTGAACATTTTCGACATTTGGCATCAGATGTAATCCTAGATTCAAGAAGCTGAGTGAATCCAAACCAGATAAACCTAAATAAATCAATACCAACACACACCATAATTAAAGTTATAGAAACTGAAGACAAAAGTCTTAAAAATAGAAACAGAGAAATGACACCTAACCACGTGAGAAAACAACAATACAATTACAGAGGATTTCTCATCAGAAGCCATGAAGGCCAGAAGGAAATGTCACAATATTTTTCAAAGGTTGAAAAGGATACCTGTCAATCTAAAGTCCTATAGTTGATAAGTGTAATAGAATGCTGAAGGAATTTCTTTAAATAAAAAGGAAATGATAAAAGAAGGACCTTCGGAACATCAGAAAGGAAGAAAGAATAATATAGCCAAAAATATAAATAAATACAATAACAGGCTTTCTTTCTCTATGAGACTTCTAAATTGTGTTTGACAGTTGAAGCAAAAGTTATAACATTGCCTGTTATGGTTCTAAATACGTGTACAGAAAATATTTAAGAAATACATTTTAAATGAGGGATGATAAAGGAACACAAAAGGAGATAAGATTTCAATACTTCATTTGATCAAACCACATTATATCACATTTGTGTATACACACATATGTATGCATATACATACACACATATATTATCCAAATATATATATCTAAATACTCAAAACAACTACTGAAAAAAAATTATACAGAGATAGACTCCAAAACAGTGTAGATAAATTGAAACAGAATTCTAAAATATGTCCAAGTAGCCCACAGAAAGGCATTACAAAATAAGAAAATAAAGAAGAAAAGTAAAACAACACATAAGCCCTAAAATATTTGAATAGCCCATAACTGTTAAGGAAAATTACACTCATAATTTTTAAAACTCCCCTGCAACAAAAAGTTCCAGACCCAGAAGGGTTTACTGGGAAATTTTCTAAGATGTTTAAAGAAGAATTAACACCAGCTCTGTACAATCTCTTAGCTACATTAAATGCAAATGATCTAAATATACCAACTAAAGAATAGACATGGATAAAATGAATTAAAATCACAATCCTTCTATGTGCTATCTGCAAGAAACTCAATTAAGATTCAATGATATAATCAAGTTGAAAATAAAAGGAAGGAAATAGTTATATCATGCAAAAATTTTAAAGGAAATCAAGACTAGCTCTATTGATATCAGATGAAGTAGATTTCAGGGCAAAGAATATTATCAAAGATATAGAGAGATGTTATATAATGAAAAAGAATCAACTTACCAAGCAGGATAGCAATAGTAAATGTATATACACCAAACCACAGAGTTGCAAAATGTGTAAAGCAAAAACTGAAGGATCTAAAAGGAGAATTAGACAAATCCACAACTATAGTTAAAGACTATTGTTACAGTTGGAAATACTACTACAGACATTAAAATATCCAAAAAAGAATAAGGAGATACTACTAAAGGTTCTACACATATGTAACAACTTAGATGAAATGGACCTTTGAAAAACACAAATTACTATAACTCATCCAATGTAAAACATAATTTGAATAGCCTTATAACTCTTAAGCAAACTACATCTACGGTTGAAAAACTTTCCCAAAAAGAAATCTCCAGACCTAGATAAGTTCGTTGGAATATTTAACAAAGAATTAACACCAGATTTATACAATCTCTCCCAGAAAATAAAAGAGAGAGTACTGCTTTTTATAAAGTTAGTGTTACCTTGACACAAAGGGAACCCAGAAATAGTACACACACACACGCACACGCGCACACACACACACACAGAACATGCAGATTCACAAATAAAAAGACAAAAATCTTAAACTATCATTGACAAATAGAAGGCAACAAATATAAAAAACATGTACACTGATATGGTTTAGATATTTGTTCCCTCCAAACCTCATGTTGAAATGTGATTTCTAATGTTGGAGGTAGGTCCTAGTGGAAAGTGTTTGGGTCATAGTGGGGGATTGCTCATAATGGTTTGGTGCCATGCCCTTGGTGATGAGTCCTCTATTAGTTCACACAAGAGCTGGTTGTTTAAAAAAGCCCGGCACCTCCTCTGTCTCTCTCATGCTCCTCTTCTTGCCATGTGACACCTCCCCCTTCACCTTCTGCCATGAGTAAAAGCTTCCTGGGGCCTTAGCAGAAATCAAGCAGATGCTGGCACTATGCTTGTAGAGCCTGCAGAACTGTGAGCCAAATAAACCTCCTTTTTAAATAAGTTACTCAGTCTCAGGTTATTTATTTATTTATTTATTTATGTTGATGCTGTTGTTTTTGAAACAGGGTCTCATTCTGTCACTCAGGCTGGAGTATGGTGGCATGATCATGGCTCATTGCAGCCTTGAACACCTGGGCTCAAGTAATCCTCTCACCTCAGCCACCTGAGTAGCTGGGACCACAGGATCTGGGACACCATACCTGCCTTTTTTAAATTTTTTGTAGAGATGGGGTCTCTTTATGTTGCCAAGGCTGATCTCAAACTCGCAAGTGATCTGCCCATCTCAGCCTTCCAAAGTGCTGAGACTAAAGTCATGCACCATTGCTCCTGGTCTCAGGTATCACTTAATAGCAATGCAAAACAGACACCATTACCAAGTGATGTTTATTCCAGAGACACAAAGCTCATTCATTATTCAAAAATCAGCTAATATCACTGGGCATGGTGGCACATGTCTGTATTTCCAGCTACAGAGGCTGAGGCAAGAGGGTCAGTTGAGCCTTGGAGTTTGAGGCCAGCCTTGGCAACATAGTGAGACCCTGTCTCTAAAAATAAATGTCAGTCAATGTAATCTGCCATATTAACGGACTAAAGATGAAAAATCACATCATTGTATCAATTGACTCAGAAAAGTATCTGACAATATTCAACACCCATTAATGCTAAAAATTTTCTGAAAACTAGAAATAGAGAGGGGCTTCCTCAATTTCATGGAGAGCATCTACAGAAAACCTACACCTAACATAATACTTTCCCCTTAAGATTGGGCACAGGCATAGATGTCTATGCTTTTTTTGAAAGAAGGTTTTTATGAAATGGTAAGCATCTATGACAAGATCCCCCAGCAAATAGGCCAATGTATGTTTAAAATACATTCTTTTAAAGATTTTTTTAGGCTCTGAAATGCAGCGTTTTTTAAAGTACAGGTCACTGATAATCCACCTGAAGATTACCACTCTTATTCAACATGTTGCAAGTTCTAGCAAATAAAATAAGGCAATCCAGGCAAACATGCACACAGATTAGAAAGAAAGAAAATGATCCCAAAAAAAAAAATAATTAATTAAAATTCAAAAAAAAAAAAAGAAAATGATCCCTACTTGCAGATGACATGCTTATCTACATGGAAAATTCCAAAGAATATGCAACAAAACCCCTACGGTTACGGAAATATTTTGTATCTTGATTGCATGCTAATGTCCTGATTGTGATATTGTACTATAGATTTGCAAAATGTTACCACTGGGAGAAGCTGGATAAAGGGTACATAGACTTTTTCTTTTTATTTCTTAGACATACATGTACATCTATAATTGTCTGAAAATAAAAATAATTAATTAAAAAATATATATCTTTAAAGTAGGCATTAAGGCTGGGTGCGGTAGCTCACATCTGTAATCCCAGCACTTTGGGAAGCCGAGGAGGGTGGACTGCTTGAGCTCAGGAGTTTGAGACCCGCCTAGGCAATATGGTGAAACTCCATCTCTACAAAACATACTAAAATTAGTTGAGCATGGTGGCGCATGCCTGTAGTCCCAGCTTCTTGGAAGGCTGAGGCAGGAGGA